TAGACTTTATGAAATAAGAAAATAGAGAGAAAAATATAATATATTTATTTTAAATCCTTTTATTTCCCGAAGGAAGTGGTTTTACGCCGGCTACCACAAAACTTAGAATTTTATTATTTATTTTTATTCCCAAAAATTTACATGCCCCGGGGTCTTATAGTTTTCACAAAAATTATTTTTTCTTTATTTAGGCCTTTAATTTTTAGTTTTAATATATATATATTAAAAAATTACACCTACCTCCAGTATTCCACGTCGAGGTCGAAGGACCGGTGCTACCAATAGAGGTGGGACCCCGGAACAAGATATAACCAATGCGGTGGGCCCAAACCCCAGAATGATGGAATACGGGAGGGAATATGCCCGGGACTTCCTAAGAGGAACCCAAGGGTTGATCAGGCCCCCGGTTGATCTCCTGCACCGGACACATACAATTGAACACACAATTTATATATTTATTAAATCCAAACAATTAAAACTCCATTAAAATATTTATTAAAGTGAATAGCTATTAAAGACAATTATAAGGTGATTACAAATCCTTTTAAACGTGAGAAAAGTGGGAGGGAATTAAAAACGACAAAACGGATATAAACATTAGGAAACAAACTCCGAAAATACCTTTGACCCTTACAATAAGCTTTAGAATTATAATTTTAATTTAGGAAATGTGAAGGTCAACGGCTTGTTCCAGATTACTCAGTTAGTTATATTTTGGTTATAATCTTTAAAAACTATATAATACATCTTTAAATATATAAATTCAGAATTTGTTTGATTATCTTCGTAAACACTCTCCATCTCGACATAATAAAATCAAGCAACGTAAGAAAAGTATCTGTGATATCAAAACTTTGAAAATCGATGAAACTTCAAATAATCAATTGAAAATTATGTGGGAAAAACTTAAAAGAATGTCTTTTCGTCATTCTCAAATGCTAATAAAAATCTTAAAGTACGGACATTTATGCCTATATCCTACAAGTATGTATCAACGATTATTAATACTTAAATAACACTTTATATGCCGTACATAATAGCGATATTTTTGTTAGAATTTTTTCGATATTTTGGGGGAAAATTGAAGGAAAAATCCAGATTTCCGATTCCCGGTCTTTTAGAAAAATTTTGGGAATTGGGAACGGGAATTTCCGATTAAAAATACATTAACGATTTTGTGATCGGGAATTCCGTATGAAATTTAAATTCACGATTTCGGGATCGGTTCGGCTTTTCACTGGTACATAATCGGTGCTTAAAATCGGAATTATTGACGCTTAAGTAATGTCCTTTTTGTTTTAAGGAGTAAAACATTGTGAAAGAATGGTGCCTAAATGGTCATTTGGACCAAGTGGAGATGGCAAATCTGAAATATCTACTCTTGAAATTCTTGGATGTGTGCATGCAACATTTTTTTGCTCAGACTCGGCATTAGGTTGATTTAATTTTACAAGACTAGTTTTGACTATCCAAAATTTACCTAAAAAGGATTTGAAATTTTGTTTTAAAGACAAAATAATATTAACTCATAAATAGTAGAGTAGCACAAAACCGTTTAATTTTGGAAAAACCGTATACTGTTTATGCCGTTTATCTGAGACCCGTATACCGTTTCGATTATTTTCGAAGACCCCGTTTAAACGTCCGTTTACCGTTTATTTTTAAAATTTTTTAAAATCAATTCATAATTCAAAAAAAATCAAAGAAAAAACATAAATTTTGTTCATCCCTCTTTATAAAAATTATAACTCAACAATAAATTCATCATATCGATGGATTGGAAGGGCTAAAGATGTCAGAGGATTAAGGGGGCCTGGTGATTAAGCGTGATATTAGTGGTTTTGGAGATTTAAAGGATTTGAATATATATCGGAGGATTTAGATGAGGGCTCTTGTCCAGTTCATGCGTCCCATGAAGATTTATGAGTCCCAAGAGAATTTATGAGTCCTATAAAAATTTATGCGTCCCAAAAATAATTCATGCGTCCCATAAAAATTTATGCGTCCCAAAAATAATTCATGCGTCCCATAAATATTTATGCGTCCCAAAAATAATCTATGCGTCCTATGAAATGAATTGAAAAAATATTCAAAAATTAAAAAATAACATTTCACATTTATACTAGAGGGTACTTTTCCGTTTTGTTACACCCACCTATATTAATGCTCAAAATGTCATATATAGGGTAATAAAAGGTGCTAAGTCGAACGGTACCCTTCTTTTTCCCAGTAAATGCCTGTGGACCGAGATATAGGCTCGAAATGGTCAAAAACAATAGTCATTTTGGGGTAGAAATTCGAATATGCAAATAAGTTCCATTTCCGGAAGTTCCTTTTCCACTCCCTAATCCACATATATCACTTAACCGCGGAAAAATTTTCGGTTCGGTTAACCAAAAGTTTCGATCCGGTTAATTGGCTCGGTTTTGGTTAACCAAAGAATTTGGCTAAACCAACAACACTACTTAAAATACAATTTTTTTAAATTGCTAGCAAAATTTTTTAAGTTCCGGTTCCGGGCCGGAACTTAGAAAAGTTTCAGGAACTTAGAAAAGTTTCAGGAACTTAGAAAAGTTTCAGGAACTTAGAAAAGTTTCAGGAACTTAGAAAAGTTTCAGGAACTTAGAAAAGTTTCACTCAAATTGGATGCGGTTCCGGTCAAAATTTCGGTTCCGGTGAAATATAATTTATACTATAAATATTTGATTAACAAAGAACAGTATTATTGATTAACAAAAAAGATTTTTCAATTCATTTCATCGGACGCATAAATATTTATGGGATGCATAAATTATTTTTGGGACGCATAAATTTTTATGGGACGCAAGAATTATTTTTGGGACTCACAAATTTTTATGGGACTCATAAATCTTCATGGGACGCATAAATTTTCATGGGACGCATGAACTGGACAAGAGCCGAGGTGGGATATCGGTAGATTACGAGTTATTAAAGGGGATCAGAGGATTAAGGTGATCAGGATCGTATATCTTAGGATTAAGGTGATGTAATGGGACTTAAAAGGATTGAGGGGATTTGAAGGGATACCAGAGGAGCAAAGGGGCTATAATGTGATTTAGAGTGATTGAGGGATTTGAAGGGAAATTGGGGATTTGAAAGGATAATAGGTTTAGCTAAACCGTTTAGCTAAACGGTTTTGTGCTACCCTAATAAATAGGTTAGATAAGAATAAAGTGCCGAAAAATGGTAAAAGTCCAGCTCGCTATCTATATGTCCGCAAAAGCATTTCCGCAAAACTCATTTTTTACTGTATTCTCCTTCTTTCCTTTGATGGGTTGATAACATGGCGCAACTACATTGTGACGTAAATCAAGAAAAAGAGACTTTGACTTTATCATAAAATTATATTCGTTAAATTTATAAATAATTATTTGTAAATAAACTCTTTTTCTTGATTTACGCCACAATGTAGAAGCGCCAAGTTGTCAGTCCATCAAAGAAAGGAGGAGAATGCAGCAAAAAATGATTTTTGCAGAAAAGCCTTTTGCAGACATATGTATAGTTAGCGAGCTGGACTTTTACCCCGAAAAATCACTATCGTCTTTATAATATTTCTATCATTTCCCCTTTTATTTAAGTTGAGCTAACAAAATGTTGTATTGTGCACGATCGATGTTATCATGACAAGAAAGGACAAACTTTTTGTGATGATCATTTTTGCCCGTGCCTCCGGGTATTTTTTATAATATTAAATCATTACTGAAATATTTTTACTGGATTCTAATTATTTTTTACTTAAGAAAGCTGCTAATAATCCTGGATGTAAATCTATTGTTGCTGATGTTTTTTGTTTTCTAGTAAGAACTATGGGCGCCGCCGCCTACCGCGTATTTTTTTCTCTTATACATATTCTCTGTATAATGCATATATCTTTAGGGCTCGGGTTGATGTCATGAAACAACGAAGATTTTAAAAAATTTAACTAAATAATTATTTTAATTTTGTTTAAATTAATTGTAATAAATAGTTTATGTCCAATTGTATTTTCAAGAAAAATTTTATAAAATGTAATATAACTATTAAATTTCCATAATTGCTATTTTTCATTTATCCCTACTGGCATTTTACGGATAAACGTAATTACAATATTTGAGTTCCATATCCTGTTTTCTATTTTTCGCCAACTTCCTCATTATTGGTAATAAGATATAAAAATTAGTCCGGAGAATTTTTTTTATGCCTAGAAAATAAAGTAAGCGGGAGAGCTCTTTGGATTAAATCGCATGCGATATTTGATATTTTCTTGGATCAAAGAATTATATATGTTAATTTCCTAAAATTAAGTATTAATGATTAATTATTAAATAAAAAATTATTTTAATATGTACCTCAGGGTTGCCGCCCGAAACACGACTTTTTTATATCCGAAACCCGATAGCCAAAAAGAAAATTTTCCAACCCGAAACCCGAAATTGGTTAAAAATTTCTACCAGAAATCTTAGCTTTACCCGATTTTTAAAAATAAATTTTAAAAATTATAGAAAGAAAAATATAGAAAGAGAAAGAGGAAATATTGAAATCAAACTTTGTAATAAATTACAAAGTGCATATGAATAAATGAAAATTAATAAGGTATATCTTAATAGTAGGCTTTAACTTTATGTAAATTAGACTTTAAAAATTCAGCAAAGTTTTGCCTGCGGCGCTAAATATGAAGGCTTACATATATGTATATCGGAGAATTTGAATGGAGTTAGATGGATTTTATTGATAGCCGGTTATTTCAAGGGATTTAAGATAATAGCGAGGAATTTGGCCATCATAAACTTTGGTGTCCCGCCGGAGCATAAACTTGGGTCGGCTCTTGAGCCGGCTCCGGAGCTAGCTCCAATAAGCCATACCCAGCACTGGTTCTAAGCATATTACTACTTAATAATTTGCGACTTTATAAAATTTTTAATAAAATGTGATACATAGTAAAATAAAGATAATTTACACAAGTCAATAAATTTCGATTTTCATAAATTAATTCAAAATTTTTATTCGTCTTTGCCTGTAGCCAAATCTACAATCATATCTATTTTTAAATGAACAGTAAGTATAGAAGTATAAGCCCATTGGTATTCATTATCAAAAGTCACTGCTGCCTGTAAAGTTTTTGAAAATTCCTCAAGTGCAATTTCTACTTCAACTAAATCTTCTTCATCGTTGGATTTTTCTGCTTTATTTATTGCATAATTTAATTTAAATATAGCTTCATATAATGTTGAATTCATTTTGTCATATGCCAAATCAATTTCATCCGAGTATTTTATAGCCGTCTGTTGCGTTTTAACAAGAAATTTTTGCATTGGCCTATCATGTTTTAACGTGTCAATTTCCTTTTCAATTTTATCTAGTTTCTCCCAACTTTTATCATTATTTCGGCGAATATTGGTAACATTAGCAATTGGAATATTTGGATTATCTTTGACTTCATCGATAAATTTTGCATTGCAGCTAACTGATTCATTTTTATTATGCTTTGGGGTGGGGATTCTTGACCAGCATTCAATAACTTGCCTAAAAATGAATTTCTTAAGTCTTTTGATTTTTTGGCAATTGTAAAGTTGACAATTGCTTCTCCTCTACACTTACTTATCACACTTGCACTGTTGATATTGGCAATGCCTATTTTGAACCCACACACATTCATTACACGTCCAATTGTAATTGGATACATTAATTGAGATATAATACATGTTTGGGGAGAAAGTACAATTATTGTTGATAATATCGTTAATTTTTGAGAGGCATTTATGGTAGTTTTCACAACACCTGGATTAGATTGTTTAGTAAAATTTGAATTGAAAATTTTATTTAAAGAAGTTAAACTTAATTAATAGCTACTGAGTAACCCTAATAAGGTAAGGAGTTACTTAATCACAATACTCGGACATTTTGTAACCTTAAACAATTCTTAAGTAATTTTGGATTATAAACTCCTTTTGCAACCTACTAAATTTTTAGTTAAAAATATTCGTGTATATTTTAATAAATAACATACGCATTAAGTTCTCGCATAGATAAGTCAGCGCAACTAAAAATATTAAAATTATTGGTGAATATTTACATAAAAGGATATTATTTCAAGATATAAATGAATTTTAATCCATTTCTGTTATCATGTCGAAGAAATATTAATGTTTCTTAAACTTACTTGCAGGCATATCGCTCGATCAGTTCTGCATCGTTAAACAATTTGCACTGATCCTGCAATAAAAATATTTTTAAATATATGTATAGCTCGTTTGGTTGATTTTTGAGTTTAAGTTCGGGTTTGGCGTTTTAGCTACTTAGCCGAAATCCCTTCTAATTTATTGTAAAACCTACAATCGGAGCGAATGCAGTACTAGAACGAGGCTTATACGTTGTAACAGCAGTAGCTCTTGTCGTTTTTGTTTTCTTAGGTATCGGCGTTATCTTATGTATTTTCGTAGTTATCCCGACTTTAGGTTTTGAATTCATGGCCGTACTCGGTTTTATAATAATTGCCGTTGTTGTAACTTTTTTCTGAAATATAAAATGTAATGTGGTAGACATAAAAGGTGTCAGTTTAATTTGATCATATATCCGTTGCTCTCAACTTTTGCCTACATTGTAACCTTTTACATTAGATAAAATTTTTAATTTTTCTGCACAAAGGATGTAACTTTTAGATAAAGAAGACGGAGAAGATTTTGGATCGGGCTTTCGAAAATGACTTGGATTGATTTAATAATCCGGCCCATCTCCACTTTAATCGTCATTTGATTATACCTAAAATAAATTCTCTCTACCTTTTCTTTTCGGCATTTAATGGGGTAATCTCGACGGTATAACATTCCAAAAGCAATATCCCGATTCAACCCAAATCCAATACCCAAATCAATGTTTAATGCCGAAACACCCAAATAATCTTCCAACCAAGCCCCACCAACTTTTTCTTCAGAATATTCCTTGTCTACATTGCTCTGTTCTCTTATTTTTGCTTAAAATTATATAAATTTAAAAACAAAATTGTTAATAAAATTACATATAAGATTTTTGTCTGATAATGCCTGAAGAAAACCGAGTGCAGTCGATCCATTAATATGGAGAGTATTTCTATTAAAAAATTTTTTAAATTAATTTTTTATAATTTTCATACTGATTAAACTCATTTATAAACCCTTGATAGTATGAAAAAATTATGCATTTCAAACTTCTATTAAAATAACATGCTCTAGAGAATGGCGTTTTGCAAAAGGATTCATTTTAGTATTTTTAACACATGTACAATTTCAGAAAAAAATGGTAACAATTTTAAGGATATGGTCGAGTTAGGGTAGCTGTTAAAAATCTTAAAATGCTCCTACAATCATCATTGGGACAGCGAAGATTTAGAAATCGCATTTTAAATTGAGGAATACGTAATTTAGGATATCTAAAAAGACTGTATTTTTCACATACCTTTTCCCAAAAATATCCAAATTTACTTCAAGACTATTTTCCTTTTCATCATAAAACACTCGAAAACCGCTCCATTCAGTTTCAACTCCTTCCGGTCCTTTGCATTGTTTCCCTTCAATACATTTGGCGCAAATCCTTGTTGTGTTTGTTTCATTAAAAGTAAAACGATTGTTCAACTTTGTATTTTCCGAGAAATAAGCGTTTGAGAGGAGGGAGCGGTAACAGACGATGAGTCTGTTTTAAATTATAATTTATTATTAGAAAGTATAGATTTAAAGATATATTTGTGTAATTTGTCCCCGTTTAAGAAATCTGGTTTGAGAATCCGGTGAGGTATTTTTATAGAGGCAGTGAAACGGATTTAAGAGAAAAATCCAGCATCAAACGAATTGCGGGGATGAGAGCTTGGGGTCATCAGAATAAAACCCAAGATCCTATTTCGCGTCAACCACTTTATGTACTAATTGAGGCACCTCTTCAACCTTCTAAGATTTTCTAAAAGTTCAGATCTAAAAGTTCAGATTTTTGCTTTTTTCTAGTTCGAAATTCAAACACCTCCGATTATTCTAGCCCAATCTTAAAATTATTAACTTCCCAAATTACCCCTCAGATCAATTTTAATTCATTCAAACTGGCAATACTTACCCATTACATTTATTTACTTTCTTCAACAAATTCAAAATTTCGGGGCATGGAAATGTTTCGGTAGAGCATGTTTTATTACTAAAAACGGTTCTCCATTTGGACTTTCTCTGGGCAAGATTAACCGTGCCAGACAACAAAACATCATTCAACAATATAAATAAAAATAAAATAAAAAGCAAATTCATCACAAAAACAAACTGAAAATAAATTAAAAATAAAAAAAATTGGAATTTTTTAAATAAAAATATACTTTGGATAAATAAAATATAAAATAAAAAATGTGATTTAATAGTGTTTATTGACACTATAAACGTTCATTTTTTTAAATTTTAATTTTACATTGAACGGATAGAGAAAATAAATATTAATTTTAATGAATCATTAATACAAAATTGGAATTTATTTTTAATTTTTGTTTAAAATTTCTCTTGGTCAGATGATCAGAATTAAATCTCTTCCATTTTTATGTAATATACAGGGTGGGCAAAACTACTATGTCTCTGATCAGCTAATAGGCAAACATTAAATAATTATCACTATTAAATATTAAAAATTATAAATTAATTGGATTGAAATAAGTGATTCATTCATTAAATATATAAATATAGTTTTGGTGAAATAAAATATTTATTTTATCATTTTTTTCAATTTTAAAATTTATAAATCTAACGGAGAATTTGTAGTGGAAATTTGGGTAAGTATAAAAAGTTTAAATGATAAATTAGTAAGCTTAGACCTATCAGAGATTAGTAGCAAGTTCGATTGCTGTCTTTATATTAATTCTTGTATGCGATTTGTGTATAAGTTCGATATTCTACTCTTTCAATTTCTGATATAGACAGGATATCCCTAAATTTCTGAATTGCGTCAGATGATAATTTTGACCTCTAACTCTTTCGATTTCTGTCAAATCCATTATTCTGACCAAAATCCTAAAATTCCAAATTCCGACATTAGATAAATATAATGAAAATAAAATTCCCATACTCTAAGTCATGTATGAAACAAATCTTTTTAATCCATTTGACTAAATTTCTCTTGAAACAATAACCTAAGAGGGAAAAGTTTTTTATTATGAATATTCATATCCAAAAATTTTGGACCATTGGGAGTAGGGTTGCCGGCTCGCTCGACCCGAAACTCGAAAGATCGAGCGAGCCGACGCTTTTCAGCTCGAAAAACTCGAAAACGAACCGAATCGAAAAAAACCCAGCTCGAAAAACTCGAAAACGAACCGAATCGAAAAAACCCAAGCTCGAAAAACTCGAAAACGAACCGAATCGAAAAAACCCTAGCTCGAAAAAAATGCACCGAAAATTTCGGCTCGACTCGAGACTCGAAAGAACCTTGTCAAAATTTGAGTTAATTTTGTAATTTCATTTTGTTAAAAGTTATTCATCTTTTCTCTCTCTCTATTACCCTTTTCTCTAGTTTGCTTTCTATAGTTTCTTTTCTCTAGTTTATTCTCTAGCAAAAAAGTGAATTTTTCACCTTTAGGCCTTCAGAAATTCTCAAAATTTTCGCCTGCGCCGCGTGGAACATTTCTTTTTTGTTAAAACTAAATTGTCCAAATTATTAAAGACTAGCGAAATCCTTTTTAATCCCCCGATATCTATGCTGGTCCTCACTAATCCAACGTTTTCTCCTTGAACCCATAAATACTCATGTATCCATATAATATAAAGGGATAATCTCAAATCCCTTTATATGCTGTTAACCTTTAAATAACTTTACTTCTAATCCTTCTATATCCACATGCGGACGATATTATTAGTCATTAAATGATCTTTAAATAAACTTAAATCAGCGCCTGGAGTTAATTACCTCATTCAAATACTGATGATGATTGAATAAAAATTTTTTTGAAAAAAGACTCGAAAAACTCGACCCGCTCGAAAAAATCTTAGCTCGAAAAGCTCGCTCGAAAAAAACCAAACTCGAAAAACTCGAAAACGAACCGAATCGAAAAAAACTCAGCTCGAAAAACTCGAAAACGAACCGAATCGAAAAAATCCGAACTCGAACAGCTCGAAAACGAACCGAATTGAAAAAACTCTAGCTCGAAAAAAATGCACCGAACGTCGGCTCGAACCGAAAACGGCAACCCTAATTGGGAGAAGATGGTCGAGTAGCTATAATTATGGTAGGATTTTTAGGCACTAAAAAGTTAAAAATAGGCGCCTATATGTGCTTCAGAAACTATTAAAATAGGTTTAGCATTCAAGAAAATGCAAAATAGGCAAGGATTTTTTGATATTTTCTGGGCTTAATTGACTAAATTTTGCGAAAAAAGGAAAGAGTTTAAGAAAAGTGGTAGAAGAATATAAAAAGTTGAGAATATAGAATGTTAGAGTGTGATATGAATTGAAATTTTTTGGACATCTAATATTTTTTGATAAATCTTTAATTTACAGAAAGGATGCAGGAATTGTTTGTTTATTTGTTAATGATTTTGGTGATTAGAAGCTGTTGGAGCTTAAAACGCGCATACCTAAATGAAGACAGACTCAAACCCTATCCTTGCCCTGTTAAGGAATCGTGGTGCAATAATCTGAAGGACTATAAAAAACTAGAACAAATCAAATTTCCTTGTCACGTAGATAAAGATGAATTTAAGCTTTTTCCC